GGCAGGTTAATAAAATGATCTCAGAAATAATTGGATCGCTCCAACTCTGTTTCACACAAGTAATGCGATTAAACTCTAAGCTGAACTTAAATATGTGTCATCAGAAATGATCACTGGGTGGATCCAGAAAATCAAAATCTACAACTTTATGGAAACACATGTACGGTGTGCTGCACGTACAGAGTACCTGTAACAGCGAGTTTACTTTTATAAACCTTTCAAAAGTGCTGCTGATTATATTGCACACGTTAAGATTTGTAGAACTTCTACCCTGCTTCAGGCTGGCTGAAAAGACAGATGGAAAGGTGGGTGGGTGTGTGACTGAGAAGGAGGAGAGTTTATTTATATTAGGTTCCAATAATACGTATTTCGAGCTGAATGAACTTTAATGTTGTTTCACTCATTTTACATGTTTTGTAGTAGTTTATGTGCATTGTTGATAAAAGGAATTTAAAATCCCTGCACAAAAAGCTAATAAACAGTTCCACGTGGCTCCACGCTGACCAACTACAGTCAAAGGCCGGCGTGTCATCTGGGGAGGACGCATAAGCGGGGGTTAATCCTCCAGGATTTCTTTCTGCATCAATTTAGTGTGGGAATTTCTTTGTTTATGTAAGGGAAAACAAAACTGGTGACAACTACAAATACAGTGGAATATAATACAGTAAGGTATTCATATATCTATGACTTTGAAATATTCTCTTTACTCATTGAGTTATCAACTCCCTGCTGAGTCAACACACATGCACTCATGATTTATCCGTCTGTCCTCATTTGTATTTTAGTAAGTACACAACCTCTTCAAATGTGCATGAGCCACCTTTTCATGTCATTGTTGAAATAACTCCTTATTATTTTATAACATAACTAAGATTTAGGCTCATGTGTAAAACATGCAGCTCATTTGAAACATATCCACAAATCTGTGTTTTAGGATGAATCATGTATAACTGTGTCACTGAAGCTGACTGAAAACAAGAATAAATCACATTTTGGCCATACCTGACTGAAATATTATTCAAATATAGCAGAGACCTGCTCCTTTTGATAGCATTGTTGCATCTATGAGTAATGGTACAGCATTTATTCTGGTTCTTTCATGTGTTAAATGGTATTTAGACATTAACATATCAGTTAAACTACAGTAATAACACTCACTAAGAATTTTGTATCTGTACTGAGCACTTTAATTGTAAGCACATTTTGGTATACATTCTGGCTTGTAACTATTTTTGTAATTGTAATTTGACAAAAACATAAATATTTATTTAAATAACTAAGTTACTTCGACCACATACTTTTTACTAGCTGCACTATACTGATGTCACACTGTTTGTTGTGCAAGGAAAACATGAAACTACACATTTGATAAGCTATTCATCAGATTCACCCCATAAAAAAAGGTTCTATAAACTCAGAAATAATAAAAATGTGCTTCCCCATGCTCTTTGTCTGAACAACACAGAACAACATGAGCATGCAAGTCAGTCTCCTACCTTGACCGATATGGGGCTGCCTGTGCTCTGATCTTAATTCAGCATCTTCAAGTGCAGCGTCATCTTCTCCGTGACAGGGACGTCCCTCGGTTCCTTCCCAGGAATCCACCACAACAGGACTGGACGTGTGAATGTTTCCATTCAAATCAAGACAGCTGTGCAGGCCAACTTCTCTCCTCCCTCTACAGACAGCGGCTAACAGGGGTGGGGTGAGGGCTGCCCTTTTCACATCCTTTGATGGAGGCTGCTCATTAGAGCCGCTGCATGAGGCACATTAGGGGACAGAAAACACACAGCATGCTCAAAGCCACTGACAGTTAGTGCTTATTAAAAGAATAATGCCAATAATATGCGTTTAGGTATGTGAGAAACGGGCAATTTAGAGAAAACACACATAGTGATGGCAAAAACTAAACAGTCAGCAACACAAAGGATGCAGCATCCAACTTCTACAGAGGATTTACTGCTTTAATCAGTAAAACACGACCCAACACAGTCACCCACTGCAGCACTCACTAACAACCAAATGAAGACAACCACCAAAACTCATTTCAAACATCTTGTAGCTTATCACCCGTATCATGCACTTACAAATCACACTGAGTGATGAATAAAAATATAACCGCGCCAAAGCAAGACACTGCCCACTCCGGCCCCCTTTTTTTTTTTTTTTTAGGGTTAGAAGGGACAAAGTCCTCCCTCCAACAGTGGAGAAAATAGCCCTCCACAGCTGAGCTCTGTGAAGCAGCCCACAGCCAGAGGAAAAGTGTGTCTGTCTCCCTGTAAAGCTGTGATGTTCCCTTCCACAGCAGATTAAAGGGTCTCTCAATATATTGCCCTGAGCACAAGAGCATGGCAACGCCTGGATGAAAAGACGTCTGACACGAGCGACAGGCTCATCTCTCTGCTCGTCTCTAGCTTACACACAAACGTATGCATGTATTCATTTAAAAACGTAAGCCCCCTTCAGCCCCCCAGGGCTAATTGTCAGCACATCAGCAACAATCAAGAAAGGGCTTCGCATGTGTCTTCAGTGCAGTCAGACACTCTCCCCTTTCACTATATAAAACATACTGCAAAGCTGTTACCATAGGGACCGTTTAAGCTGCTTGCAGAAGTTTACGCATGAAGTGGATATTGTCATAACGTTCGTCTGAATGCTGGTTATTGGGTGTGCACATGCATACGTAAGTGTGCAGAGGAGGAGAGGTCACGTTCAGTGAGCAGCGATCATTCTGTGTATCTGTTCTTCAGAGCCCACATAAGAATAAATTATAAATCTGGAAACAAGCAGTCGGAGCCGAGCGTCTCACTGTTGTGCTGTTTTGCATCCAGATGCAACTGATAATTGTTAAAATCATAACGTAGGGTATATATGCAGATGTGTTTGTAAAGGATTAAAACCCTGTAACTTATAAACTTATCATAGAATCTAAAAATGCACTGTTTATGGTTCACATATTAAAGCTGAAACATGTAACTTCATAGATGTTGTAATACAGACAGTGACGATTCTGGAGATACAGTAAAAACAAACAAAACAGTTTAATCCTTTATCTGGTGAGGGACCATATATGGGAACTTCCTCAGGCTTTAAAAATGACAGGGGGGGCAGAATCACATGATTTCAACCAATCAACGAAGGTCAGGCTACATCCCAACACAGTCACTGTGGCCTGTGGAAATCGTATATGGTGACTGCTTTGGCTTTGATTTGCAGCCTGAATCTACAATTTAAAAAAAAGAAAAGTCCATCCATCATCTATACACCGCTTAATCCTCACTAGGGTCGCGGGGGGGCTGAAGCCTATCTCAGCTGACTCAGGGTGAAGGCAGGGGACACCCTGGACAGGTCACCAGTCTATCACAGGGCTACACTTAGAGACAGACAACCAAGCACACTCACATTCACACCTACGGACAATTTAGAATCACCAATTAACCTCAACATGTTTTTGGACTGTGTGGGAGGAAGCCAGAGAACCCGGAGGGAACCCACGCCGCACGGGGAGAACATGCAAACTCCACGCAGAAAGATTCCGGTGCCTCCACCGGGACGCGAACCGGCAACCTTCTTGCTGCGAGGCAACAGTGCTAACCAACTGCGCCACCCTGCAGCCCCAAAAGAAAAGTCAAAAAAGAAAAAAATGTCCTTTTATTTCCATCAATAACACTCCAGGGTTGACATTTTAAATATCCAAGTATTTTAACGAGTGCCCTATAAAGGGTTAAGGAAGCCGCTATATAAAGTAACTCAAAACAAAGCCGTGCAGGCAAACTGTGAGCCGACTGAGCGTTTGTAGCATGTATGAAAATATGGTGTCAAACATATCATTTCTGAGGCAGTGGCTCTGTTTTGAAAAGACTGTGTTGGCAGTTTTGCGTACAGGTAGCCCAATAATTACACAGAATTGCACATTTGTTTTCATTTAATTGTTACTTGAGTCTAAAAAAAAAATAAAAAATCTAAAATGTGGGCGGCAATTTACGGCTAAAACCAGGCTAATTATCACATCCTACTTGCCAGCTTTCTGTAATCCTCCAAACAGGTTGCTGTATCTCCAGTACATACATTTCGAGTGTAACTATCGCTTATAAATCAATTCATCTGCTAATTATTCCAAATGTCGAGATAGCAAAACATGTCCATCAGCTTCCCACGGTCTAATGCTGCATCGATTTATGCCATTAATCAATCAGGTCTTCATTAGTTATGCATTACTTAAGCACGTAAACCTTTAGTGATAATTGATTTCTATTTAGTTGATTGAAGTCTCACAGGATACACATCTGGACTCACACTTCCACATAACAACCTCCTCTGTCTAGTGAGTAAACAGTGAGGTAGTTGTAGTACAACAACCTTTTCCTTATTTTCCTCCGTGTAGTCCAGCTTTAGAAACACATCTTGTTTGTTTTCCGACCTATCTGAGTTAAGGCGAAAAACAGACGAGAAAAAGAAAATGCTCACAGTGTGGATGGGCTGTAGTTGACCAGACAGTGCAACACAGCCAGCAAGTCGTCCTCCCAGTACAGGTCACTGAACCTCTCCTTCACCACGCTGGCGAACACGTGGTACTGGAGGGCCTTCAAAGAGAAGATGTACTCCCCTCGGAAAAGAGAAAAAGGTTGATTTTCAAATGAATGCGTCTCAACAGCTCATGATAAGATGATAAAGAGGGTATTACTGCACTAAATCTAGTAACAGGTATTAAAGGCACATGAACTAACTCAGACATAAGAGTGTCTGTTTTTTTTGCAACAGCAGAGGTCTCTGGTGTGCTTCTGCCATCCACTGGCAGATTCTGACTGATTTACTTTTGGCATTTTTCTTTCTTGGGACTAAGTTTGCATTAATACCACAGAAATGTTTCCTTTTATCCATTTCTTTAGCCAGTTATGTCAGTTACTCATCCAGGACTTTAGATGAGTATCTCAACAATTAGTTTTAATTACTTTGATGTTTAAACTATTTAAACTCTGTACTGTTTCAACATTAATTTCACTACTTTGGCTTTTAATCATTTATTTCAACCTTTAGTTTTTATCATTTATTATTAACTTGGTTAACTATTTGAACTGTTACGCCATTATTTCAGCTTGAACAATTACTTCTAGCTAATTATTTTAACCTGTATTCCATTACATTGGCTAACTATTTGTTCTATTTTACTTATAGATAAGTATTTCAACATTACTTCAGCTACTATGGCTAACTACTTCAACTATTTATTCATTGCTTTTAGCTGCTTATTTCAACATATACTCCTTACTTTGGCTAACTATTTAAACAATCACTTTTAGCTAATTATTTTAACCTTCATTTAATTACTTTGGCAAACAACATAAATTGTTTACTCATTACTTTTAGCTAATTATTTCAAAATTAATTCCATTATTTTGCCTAACTATTAGATTTTTTACTTTAGGCTAACTATTTTAACATAGACTCCATTATTTTGCCTAACTATTTGAATTTTTACTTTAGGCTAACTATTTTAACATATACTCCATTATTTTGGCTAACTATTTGAACTCCTTCACACTCTATGTAATTGTTTCAACCTTTACTCTATTATTTAGGCCAACTGTTCAACTGTATATTAATTACTTTTGGCTAATATTTTAGAATTAATCCCATTATTTTGGATAACTACTTCAATTCTTACTTTTACCTACTTATTTAACAATTGCTCTATTTTGCTAACAAGCTACTTTTAGCTACTTACTATTTAAACCATTCACCAGTTAGTCTGGCCAGTTGTTTAAACTGCTTATACGTTACTTTAGTGTAATGACTTTAACATTAATTTCTCAGCTTAGGCTAACTATTTAAACATTTACTTGTTTAACTATATTGAGAGTTTATTACGTTTAGCTAACATCTAGCTTCTCTGCCTGTCTGCTAACTAGTTTCTACAAACAAACTGAAACATTTGCTTTTTAAATGTGTTCACTCCTTCAGTACATGAAACTGCTGCATGTTTTATTAAATTAGTTCAGCCACTCTAGATTGTTCCCCCTTGGTGTGGAAGTACCCCACTTTGGGAGTCCCTCTATAACTGGGACACATAAATGCAGCAGGTTTTAGTCGCTCTTCCACTGTTGTGTAAGGCAAATGAAGCAATAATAAAAAGACATCACACCTATCTAAAGATACATACCCATGGCGATGTCCTCATGCCCATTGTCCAAATACCCATCAAGGGAAAACTCTCCTTTGAGCAGGTCAATCACCTCCTGTAGGGCAGGGTGGACTTTCGGGGAGATGGACTCTGAATGAGACAGACTCTCATCTTGTGCTCTTGGATTTGTGTGTCCATTGTACCCTGTGGGCTCAGCGTTCTCCAGGGGGCTGTCAGACATGATTGAGCTACCACTGAAATAAGATGACGGGAGGCCACATTCCCGGGGTCCAGGCCTTACAGGCACATTCGGAGAGTCAATAAATGGACCATCAGTGCTCTCTGGAACCGTGATCAGTTCCTGCAAAGGCTGTGGGACCAGAGAGAGATTTATATCCAACCCGAGGAGAGACTCGGGAGCCCTGACCTGCACAGGCACTAAAGAAAGATGTCCTGTTGTGGGATCCTGTCGAAAGAGGTAATTGTTGAAAACACCACAACCGTTGAAGTTAGTGGATAATGGCAGAGGAAGAGAGACTTCAAGGCGGGAAATATCAGGGAGAGCAGAGGGAGAGGCCACCAGGATCTTGCTGCTGGATATTGTAGAAGACGTAGTTACGACTGCCTGACAGTGAGTTAACTCTTGTGGATGTAGATCGGGTTCAGTGTGTGTTGGGTACTCGGAGGGCGGAGTGAAATCGAGGCAAGTCTTCACGATGTGGTCGCTGCTTTTTGGTAATCCATCCACAAGCCTGTAAAAAAAAAAAACAACCAGTCAATCAAATCAAATTTTACTCAGCTTTTAATTTTGTTTGCATTGTATTAAATTCTTTTGAATTGTAATTGTGTTCTTTGTAGAAATTATAGAAAGACACTGGCTGTGTCCGAAATCACTCCCTATGCCCTGTATAGTGCACTACATAGGGTGCACGCCATTTTGTAGGGGTGTCCGAATGTTAAGTTACAAATGTTACACCCTATATAGTTCACTCAAAATATCCCACAATGCACCGTAAAAAGTAGTGTACAGCCGATGGTCACTACCTGAGCAATATGGACCGTCATGCATTGCGTGAAAGGAAATGGAAATGGAGATGAACGAGAGCTCGGAAAAATTCCCGTTTGTTTTGTTAAATTTTATTTTACCCGTACAGTGAATGTCGCTAAAATTGCGGCGCTCGGTTGTGATTTGGACATACGACACCACTTTATTTAAATTGCTTTTAGGACTGGATCCTGAAGAAACGTTCTCTCATCTGGTTTGTACAGCAAAATGACAATAAGTTTGATTTAATTTGATTTCTTAGCTACGCAATAAACTGTTAATTTGATGTGTTTGTACTACGCTGTTGCAGCACAAATCGCGGCTAGCGAGCGACGTAATTAATAGCTTGAGTAGTGTCCGAAATGATACTTTGCCGAGGTGCTCCCTATATAGTGCACTACATAGTGATCACTATATAGGGAGTAGGGAGTGAGTGGGTGATTTCGGACACAGCCACTCATTCACTTTCTAACCAAGACATACATGAGTAGATTGACACCATAGTTATATGTATTTGTGGGAAATATGCTAATATGTTTCAGCATAAAGGCTGGAAGAACGGAAAACAGTCGTGAACAGAAGTTTACATCCACTTGTAAAGACCATGTATATTATGGCAGTCTTGAGTTTCCAGTGACTACTGAAGATTCTGTGATGGAAACATTAAAAACCTGCGTGTCTTTGTCATACAAAAAAATCATGCATTTTGGTTCTTTCACAGATTTACAAAAGGTCTCCAAGAAATATGACAAAATCTGCTCAGTCAAAAATATACATACAGCTGCCCTAATATTGGGGTAAACAGTCTTTGTCCATTTACACCTCAACTATGCACTTTTGGTACAAGTTTCTGGTTTATCTTTAACAACTCCTCCTAACAGAATCGGTGCAGTTAAACTAAACGTGTTGGTTTTCTGCTACAAACTTGTTTTTTTCATCTCAGTCCACAGGTTCTTGATGGGGTTTAAGTCAGGACTTTATTTCTATTTCTTCAGTCTATAACTTTATTTCTAGCCTGATGCAGTCATTTATTTACCACTTTTGGTGCGTGTTTGGGGTCACTGTTGTGTTAGAACACCCAACTGTGTCAGAGAACTTCAGGTTTTTGCTGAACAATGTCGTAGTAATCCATCCATCCATCCACTATCGATACACCACTTAATCCTTACTGGGGTCGTGGGTCTCGTAGTAATCGTCTTTCTTTATTATTCCATTTACGTTGTGTAAAGTGAAAGTTCCCCTGACAACAAGACAACCCCAGAGCATAATACTGCCACCCCCATGCTCGTTACTGTTACTTTAAAAATTGCTTTTTAAAAAAGAGCACCATTAAAAATCAAGTATAGTGATAATGCACGTTATTTGCCTGACTATCTTACCCTTCAGTGGCAGTTCCAAGATCTTGGCTCTCCTCCTGTAAGTCCCCTTCATTGGTCAGGATGATGGGGCTGAAGTGTGTGGCAGTGGAAGTGAAGGCTTCTGGGAGGTGGAGAGTCTTACTGACTGGATAGCTGTGGGGAACAGGGCCCGGCACAGGAGCCAGTCGGCTCTCAGTGGCCATGGGCACAAATCCTACACACGGTTACAACAACGCCAGATACAATATCAGTGATATTGTCTCATGCAATACACACGGTTGTTAAATTACACAGAATGTGTACAATATTAGGAACATCTATTGCTATGATTCGATCCCAGTTGAAAGTAACGACACATTTTAGTTCATGAATCTTCATTAGTTGTGAATGTTTGGCATAAAAGAAGTGACACCTTTGACACAAAAACGAATTGGCTATGAATTTTGATGGCATGTCTCAGAGGATCTTCCCAATATTTACTACACATAGTCAATATCAGATTGTACATTTCAAGGTAAAATATATTGCATGAGGGTCATCCATATTTTTAAGCAAAGCTGTCATACCACTGTTGTTTTGTGCAGACTCTTCACATGAGAGTTGAGGAGTTTCCGTTGCATTCAAATCTTCTGCATCATCGGGTTTTGATGCTGGCTGGAAGAAAATAGAACAGTTCTATTACAAAAGAGAATTAACCTATTTCTCAATGAGCCAAAACAAAGCAGGCAGTGAGAACGTGACCACACACTGCCTCTGACACTAAAATTTAAGCAACACATTATGAATATACAGATAAATGTGATGTAAACATGTCTGTGGTGAAAAAGCTTACCGGGTGAACTCTGTTAATGAGGCTGCTCCACACGGACTCAGCATTCGTCCCCTGACGTGATAAGTAGTCACGACAGCACTGGAACAGATCCACATGAAAACAATTGTGATAACAATACAGGACACTTCACACACGGACACTAATAATGTCAGAATTAATTCTGCCCTGAAATAACTCAAGTGTTTGATTAAGAATAAAACACACAGTTGTTGGGAAACTAACAGCTACTTTTAGAAAATGACTGACAGCATAATAATTACAGTAAATGATGGTATTTTTTAGGAGAGTACTTTGTTGACAACATGACAAAGCGCTTTGACAAATTGGATTCTCCATATTTAAATTACAAGTGCCTTCCATCTACAAAGGGTCTGCTCATTAGGAAAGGTGCTCCTCTCTGAAGTTTTCATACATTGATATGCAAACTCAAACTGGGCTTTATTTATAGGAAACTTTTAATAAAAGTAAACCCAATTTAAAGTGCTTTTCAGAGTGAGGCATAAAACACAAGAGGACAAATTAAAAGAATTGCAGTATTGCAAAATAAAACCAAATGTAAAAGTAGAAATTACGTAACTAGTTTTAAAAAAAAAGGAACGTAAAATGACTAGTGGTGCGCAGATGCTCTTCTAAAAGGCTCTTCTGTGTCGTCGTCTTCAGCAGGAAGACCTAATTGTAGGAAATGATTAATAGGCAGGACCTCCTTATGCTTTGAACTAACTGCTAATGTCAGCACACCATATGCTCATAATGACAATGCTGACATGTTGATGTTGAGCAGACAATGTTTACCGCTTTAGCAAGCTAACATTTGCTAATTAGCACTGAAGCTGAGGCTGATGGGATTGTCGTTATTGTTGTTGTAGTTCTGCATGTTTACGGTAATGGAAACTGGACAAACTCTGACCTGTTAATGGAACTGTCAAAAAAGTCCGGGTGTCAGTAGATTCATCTCGTGGGGACATGAATATTTACACAAAGTCACTCCTTTACCAAATTACTTTGAGCAACCTGGTAATACATTCAATTACTGTTGTGAAATTTCAGTAAAAATCAAAACTGCCTTCGTAGTGGTGCTTCCAAAGTTGTGGACCGACTGCCTGGCTCACTTACTGCCATGTTTTTAGTTTGATGTTTTGCTCCCAGAACAATCCTATTTCATTGCAAAACAGTGTTGTCCAGAAACATCTTTCAGAGGTCATGAGCTAAAGTGACTATAAAAAGCTTTTACCCCACTAGTAAGCTTTTCCCGTTACTTGCTTTTCAACGTTGAATCTTGGTCAATATAATTTGGCTTTTGACAAGAATTTACAAATGGAAAAAAAAGACTTTTCATGTCAGTGTGAAAACAGATTTCTATAAATTTCTCTCTGATGAGACCAAAATTAAGCATTTTGGCCCTCAGACTAGACGCTAAGTTAGGCGTATGTCAAACAGTACACATTATGAAGCATGGTGGTGGCAGCATCATAATTTGGCGATGCTTCTGGAAGGCATGTAAAGGTACAGGGTGTAATGAAGGCGGAAAAAATATTGGGAAATACTGGTGATGCAGTCTGCAAGAGAACTGGAATTTGTTTTTCAGCTGGACAATGACCCAAAGCACACAGCCATAGCTACGCAAAAAGAGTTTAAAGACAACAAGGTCAGTGTTGTGGAGTGGCAAAGTCAGAGCCCAGACCTCAACCCAATTGATAACGTGTGTCTGGAATTGAGAGAGGCTGTTTACTCACAATCCCTGTGCAGCCTGATGGAGCAGTTTTGCAAAGAAAAATGGGGTACAATTGCGATTTGCATTGCTGACTGAAACCTATCTACACAGGCCTGTTGTGAGAATTGCAGGTAGAAGTACATCTACTAAATACTGAGTTAAGGGGGGGATATCTGTGCAGTCACTTAATTACCTGACATTACTTTGTTGACATTGACTTTGACATGCATAAAACCAAGCACGGAGACACGCGCTGTATTTATGGACCTGAAATGCAAGGTGCACCTCAGATTGTATTTTTGGTAACTGTGTTGCTTCGACATTGTGGATTAGAAAGAAATCGATTCCTTTCCTGTCAGTCTAAACGGCCAAGTATAGGAACTCAGTACGGTGGCACCAGTAAAAGAGGTCTCGCAATGCAGATGCTTTGGGGGGCCTGGAAAATGTCTCTCCACATATGAGCACTTCCCTCATCTACGAGAGATAACTGGAGGCTGTTGTTTAAGACTTCAGCCTGTTTGTTCTCAACCAGGTTTTACTTAAAAGCAATCCTGTTTCTGTTTTGTGATAAAAAACCACTATCAGGCACAACTACTCATCAAACTGTCAAACTGTTCTCTCATATTATTTGTTTGCACAGTTGCTCTCTGCAAACAGAAACATCAGTCGGGGAGTCACAGACTCCAGTGGGAACAGTGGAATCAGAAAAGTGAGACGGTTGACACCCTGTGATGGTAAATTTCAGGCTAATGCAGAAGAAAATTGCAGCTGCTCCATGTCTGGTCAAAGAAGAAAACTGAGTAACAGGCAGCCACATGTGAAGCGTGAGTTTTCTTGTCTGCCAGCGTCAGGCAGAGCGGCTTGACGATAATTTGCCTGACACTCACACGAGGGTGGTGTTCAGAAAAAAAATGTAATCGTAAAGTGTTAAAGTGCATTCTTTGCAAGAAAATGTAGAAAAAAAAGGAGTACTTTTTTAGCCATAACAATGGTAGGTCTCTCCATGGGCGTCCTCTTAGCCATCTCCAGCAGCAGCCTCTTCAGTTTGCGAGGCATCGCCAGCTTCTGATTAGGCGATAAACTGAACTTGGCTGTGGCCCAGAGAATAGCAGCAACCCCATACACACAAACCTGGTAGAAGAAAGACACAAGAGACAAAGCTACAGCTCAAGCAAATGGTTAGTTAGTATGTATAAAAAGCCAAAAATGAAAGCAGTTCAGGCAGACGGACCTTCTCAGTCACTATTCCATGTTCTTGATATTCAGGAGCGAGATAAAATTCATCTCGGGGTCCTGCAAAGAAGAAAGTGAGTTAGTGAAGTCAATAAAAGCCTTCAGACTCTGCTGCCTCATACACTTTGATGAAGAGTGCCTTTTCAAGTGTATTTTAGAACTAAATAAACATTAAAAACGTGGAACAGCAGCAGCACAGAGACTAAAGTAGACCTACCTATATTTTTAGGTTTCAGGAAAAGCACCTCTCCCTCGCAGCCCACATACACCGTATCCAAGCATAAGTAGGCTAATGGAAAAGAGAGAAATCAGCTGCACAAGATAATTGTGAGCAACAGAATTTATATGACTTTTGTATTTCCTTTTGTCTCTCTTTCTTGTACCAACTCAGGAGCAGGATCATAATGAGCAGAACACTGCTCTTGCAGGGACAGTTACCTTCTGGTTTCATGAATGAAACAAGTAAAATCACCTGGAAAGTCGATGTAGGTCTGCAGCGAGGACAGGCAGGTGTAGCACAGAGCCCACAGTTCGTTAACTGTCAGCCGCCGTCCACAACGAGCAAGTAGCTCTCTGAGAGAGATCCACTGGACAGAAAATAACAAGAACAAACCCAGTTTTAAAAAAAGAGAGAGTTACTGATTACAGAGCTTTAGCCCCCAGTAGGCCTAATTAAGTCTAACTGAAGTAATTCCTAATTTCACTTTTGCTAAATCTGTTTCTGACTGTTCCTCCAGTAAGGCTGATTGCTTCTGAATACCTGTGTGATTACTGTGTCAGTTGAAGATTGAATACTTTGGGCAGAGGTTTGGAAACAGAAGACAGCTCCAAACATACAGGCTAACGTTAGAATTTAAAGAGATTTTTTTGTAAATTAAATAAACTGAAAGATCTCATTAAAGTCATGTGAACAAACAGGAAGCTGTGGGCCTTTTTGACATACCTGAACAGGCAAACTCTTGGTCTCATCTGATAAAGTGCCTCCAGATAAAAGTGATATACTTGAACAGCATCACAAGGAAAAGCATCTTTTTTTAATCACTGATTCAACAACAGTGTTAATAGATGTAATATTCTTCTTTTTGGCATCAGAAGTCAGTTTTGCCTCCTTGTAACTTCTTGTAGGCGTTTTGTATAATTATAGAGACGTTTCTGACATTAGTTTGCTGAAATCTTTTGTCCCTCCTACATGAAAAATTTCTTTGGTTGAAATGAGGTTGTTTTTTTGATGTACTGGTTGTTTCAAATCCCCCCCCACAACATTTCAGTGAGATTCAGATCTGGCCTTTATGTCTGCCATCCCTTGGAGGTTTTCAGAGTGCAGAGGATCACTGTCCTGTTGAAAGGCCCGCTACCAATTTAACTTTAACTTCTGGACACATGTCCTCACATTACTTTGACATTAATTTGATGAAGCCTTTGATATAATGCAGAATTCATAGTTGAATCAGTGTCTGCGAGCTGCCCAGTCCCTGAGGCATCAAAGCAAAGCCAAACCATAACATTTCCATCAGCATGCTTTAGAGTTGGTCTGAGGTTCTTCTTCTGAAAAGCCGCCTTTGTTCTGCACCAAACACTTCTACGGTTACAATGACCAAACCACTCTACGGTTGATTCATCTGGCCCGACCGCACCATTGCAAAAGGCCCGCTGTTTGTCTGTATTTTCATTGGCAAACTATAGGTTTGCTCTAATGTTCTGTTTGGACAGCAAAGGCTTTTTCCTGCCTCCCATGCAGGGCAAATTTGTGCAATTTCTTTCTAAATTTAGACACAGCACTTTCAAACCAACATCTGCAGAGTTACTGGCAGATCCTGGGATGAACTTTTGGGATGATTGAAGACTCTCTTTCAAATCTAACAGTCTATGCAGGCCGGAAATTACTAAAGTTGTTTGAAATCTATACCACTTGTAGTGGAATGATTGATGTCAAATCATTTTGAAGATCCTTTTAAAAGCCGTTGCCAGATTTATAGGCATCAACAACTCTTTACAAAGACCTTAGAAAGCTCTTTAGGTCTTGGCATGATGACACCATGAACTTTAAGAGTAAAGAATACAGCAGATGCTAGAAGCACGAGGATGAAAGCGACAGATCCCGTCACTAACTTCAGGTTCTAATTGGCTCCTAATCTGGAACCCTTCATTCTAATTTAATGGATATTAAGGTGTATTCATCTTTTTACTTGACTGATCTGTTTTGTTTTTGTTCTGATGCTCAGTTAAATTTTGAAAATGACTTCAGAATGTCAATTTCGGGTGTTATTTATTGGAGTATATTGTCTTTATTAAAAGGCACAGTTTTGTATTTATTCAAATATGTGACCCATCTGCATGAAATCAGCTACATCCAAGATACAGCTGGAATCATGTTAACACATGATGAAATATTGATTTTGGGTTTATTACTTGGATCGGGCCACTTAGTTGTTTTCTCCATGTAGGTCACATATAACATCCATATCACTTCCAAATACCGTCAGCGTGTATGAGCGGTAAAGAAGAAAGAAGCCGCAGAAATCACACGTGCGATGGCGCCATGAGCAATGTGTCACTGCCAGCCAATCCTGTCCCGTGATTTGCATCATGTGGTAGCAACATGCCGCTTTTGTTTACGTAAAATAGCCCAATGTGGTTGATTTCATGCAGATGGATCACATATGTCTACAAGAATTGATGTCTAAAAAAGATTCTAAGAGTTTTTTTGTTTTTTTTTACTTTTTCCATGAGTGTATCTCAAGGTAATCACTCAATTTAAAGAAGGTATTTGGAAGAGTTTAGCTTTTTCTTTAGAATTCATAACATTAGGAATCTTGTGCTTGGTTAGCCACATAGCTTATTTTCTACTTAAACAGCTACAAAGTTAAATAAAACAGCTATAGGAATGCTTGACCTTGTAAATAGCAGCAGAAAGTAGCTGATGAATTAGAAATAGTTGACGAAACAATCTGTAGTCAAGGTGCTCTTGGGAGTTTTTTTCCCCCAGAGCTTTAAAATGTGTCTTTCCACCAAACAACAGCTTGTCCAAGGTTTTAAACTTGAGACATGATGACCGAGAATCCTTAAAACGGAGCAAATATAATCTGATAAAGAATGTGCAATTGAAGGATCTGGAAAGAACCTTGAGATAGGAATGTTTTTTCAAACTAGAGAGCAGATGTTCCCTTCTTATCCCTCTTAAGCTACAACTGATAGCATTTAGAAAAGATACATAAATGTAGATGTCTCTATTAGTAAACTGACACCTGCACCAAGAGACCTTGTAATGTTCCAAGTGCAGTTTTGTGTTGTTTCTCTTATAACAGATATAAGAAAACATGTGATGCAACTACAGAGTCATAGAGTTGAAAGCTGCCGGCAGTGGCTAACCTCATCCTGAGATTCTTCATTCAGGCACAGCATGCTTTTGGTCATGTGGTTATTTGGAATGTAGAGGCTGTGGTTCAATGAGCTCTGCTCCTCAGTAGAGTCCTGCTCCAATTCCAGCTCCTGACAGGAAGCGTAGGGCGATGCTAAGTCCTGGATGCAGTCCTCAGATAGACTTTCACGGCTCTCTTGAAAATCACTTTCTTCGATGCGTAATGTCTCTGCAGCATCCTCATTTCTCGGGGACATGTCCCCACAGTCCTCAGCGCTACAGTGTGGGTAAGACTCGCAGGACCTTCCCCGGTTCAGTCTTTGAAGTCTGTTGCTCCACACGGACGTGCAGCTCAAGTGTTCGTCTGCTCCGATCTCAGTGAGATCTGCAACGGGTACGCTGATGTCTCCGTGTGTCGGAGGGGAAAGGCAGGGGGGATTGTTGGAGTCCGGGACCGAGCAGGAGCGGTTGAGGGCCCCCCTCACCCTGCTCAGCCTCTGCTGGGCTCGCCTCCTCACCGGGGAGCTGTTGTGAGACCGACAGTCCATCTCATCTGTCAAGATCATGCCGTCTGCTTCACAGCCCTCCATGTCCTCGGCCCAGAGAGAGGAATCCCAGCCCCCGCACAGCTGCAGATGGAACATATTATCATTTGTTTCAGACAGAAACAATCTTAATTACCTCAGTGGTAACACAGAAACCACAGTTTAAATAACTGAGCAAACTGAAGTGGAAAAGTAGGTCCTCTGGTAAATCTTAAATCTTAACTAATGATCTTGCGGGGAACACCTAATCATTGTACTGCTAGTATAGATATAGTATAGGTTTCTGAGCATCATTGTTAAGGGATAGGCCACAAGCGTAGTGTAAAAAAAACTAATCAGAATGAATAAGCTGAGGTGGAGATCAACATGAGAAGTTGTTTTTGTGCAATAATCTGCAAAAATACCAGATGTTATGGGTTGGAAACATCCCTAGACGGAAAGTACCCTCTCAGCAAACAGTGCATAACTAGCTATTTGCATGTATGGAGCTGGTCTGGCTGTGGATTTTCATAAGGCGGGGGGACGGATTTACACAGAAACGCATCAAGAAGAAAAGCTAGTTTTAAGATTAGACAGCTCACAACAGTGCAGCAGCTTGTCAGTCATTACATTTATGATTCCATGCTGATAAATATAACATCTCAGGGTTATTATGTGAGATAGAAAAGTATTTTCACATCTGGATAAATATAGAAAAACATTTGTGTTCACAGACTGCTGCCCTTATTTTGTTTTCTAAAATTTACACTCATACTTTCTTAGAAAAATAAAGTGATCATACAATAGTTTTTTGAGGCAACAAGCTTCATACCACTGAAAGCAAAGGCAGAAGTACGTAATGCGACTGAATGCAGATTGTTACGTAGACCTGCCACGACATCTGTACGTTACAGTGTGCAAGATGGCTCCGCTCCAAGTACCAGTAACCAAATCTGATCACTGGTGTTTCCACAGACACGATGAATAGACAAGGCCGTACAAACGCCATGAAAATGTCGTTAATTTTATATTTTCTACACATTTTTTATAGAAGAGACTGAAAAAAATATGGGGGCAAACAAAAACATATATTATTTATTTTATCATTTATTGAGTTTGAATAGAACGCTGTGCACTGAACTTGTCTGAGTTTGGCGTTAATTTATTCTACAATCTTCTGGCAGGTATTTAGAAAGATGGAAGCATACATAGTCTAAATGTACAACATTACATCACATACAAGGTAACAGTTGGGATTCAGACTTTTAAAACTATTAATTTATATAACACAAATCTAGTTATTTGTGTTCAGATGACAAAAAAAAAGAGAAGAATAAGTCTGGAAAAGTAGAAAACGTGTAGGACATCGACTATTGAGGCATCTGTTGTATCCCCAGTGTGTGGTTCATTTTGCTAATGTTACTGAATGAGGGACTTTTGTGGAGCAGACTTGTACAGGTATACAGTTTGAATGTGATAGATCCTAATATTGTTTTTAAGTACAAATTGCTTTTAACCCCTTAAGCCCGAGTCTCGGGTTTCATACAAAGAAAAAGTGTGAAACAATGCTCTCCTGATGCTGCACGTCACATTAAACAGCAGAACCTCGGCTACAAGAATATAGAAGCCATTTTTACATGCCCCAAACACAACTCAAACACCAACTAAATCAATTATATAATATGCGCCACCCAGTCAACCTACTCCCTACATTTCTGGCTCCAGCGTTTCGGTACTTTATGCAAAACGCACAAACAACCCCTCAAACGAAAGCGGACAGTCCACAGATTCCAAACATGTCCGTCAAAGCTCTCTAAATCAAAGCATCGTCGAGAAATAACCCAAAGAACAGCAAAAACCGAAATCGCTTCATCAAACCGTAGTTATAGCATGTCTCTTACCTCAGCTGTTTTGCCATGAAAAGTTTATTTTCGCGGTAAATGCACATCGGAATCAGTTAGTACTACTTCCTGTGTTACACTGAAATCATTCCGGGCGTCTTTTGGAGACTTCGTGACCCGCAAGGAGCCAAGGAGTGAACCTTCAGTCAGCAAGCAGCTAGTCTTCAAGATGGCGTTCTACTGATTCTGATTGGCTAAAAGTGCTGTCAATCTTATTTTGGTGGCTATCGCTATATTCTATTGGCTGTAACGATTCGAAGGCAGCGTCAATCACTGAAATCGACCAATCATTACGGAGATGCAGCCTTGCCTCACCACAGGAGCTTCACAGCAGTCTGATCAGCAGCATCACGCACAGGGCGCGTAACACAGACAGCGTCTGATTGAATTTTCAAAAAACTACAAAACTGCTGTATTTGGATGTATTGAACACCATCAGTGATATACATACATGTGAAATATATAGTTTGTACATAAGAAAATTCAGATGGTCGCAAGTGTGCAAAAAAAAATTGACCTCGCCTGAACTGTCTGTACTAAAAACTCTAATTTTGTTCTTCTTCACTTTATCAGAGTCAACCTTTGCAGAGAGAATGTTCACATATTGCGCTATGATTTGAGAGCGGTTTAGAGCTGCAGCTGGATCATTCGAAAGACATATTTATCCTGAAAATGCTTTTTATTTTTTATTTTTTAGGCAAACCTGAAAGTTTTTAATTTGTGCTGTGTGCGATCTCTATTTACTCTTAACCAGTAACATATATACTGATATTTACACACCTGAACAAATCTTATAAGTGTTCCTTTTATTATGACACAAGAATTGTTCAAATTAACATTGTGGTAAACTGTTGTTATTATGGGTATGTAATTTTCAAGCAGAGGCCTGGAAAATAGCTCAGGGCTTAACAGGTTCATATTAACTTTAATAGAGTACTTGTAAGAAAAAATGCAAATGCAACATAGAAAATCACCATTAAAAAGTCATTTTACTGCTACCACAACCTTCTGACTTTATCTTCATTGCTGTAAATGTCTACAAGCTATCATGTTTTATTATCTACACCCAGCTATCCCCGCACTGTGCATGCATCAAACAATACTGAACTTGAAGGTCGCTGGCACTCAGTAGTCTAATGTCTAAAGCTAACTATCCTGGGTCTAGCAAAGAGAAACTGCGTGGTTGCTGATTAATTAAATTAAAATATGTCTTCCTCTACAGCATCTGCTTCTAAAAAATATTTGCAGCAACATCCAAAAGCCCGGCCCCATACCTGCTGCCTGGAGAGACCGTTTGCCTTAACAGAGCTATCAGGCAGGTCTTTGGTGTTATCGTCTGAGCTCAGTCTTTTAAGAAGACATCTGGGTTTGGAATGCTGCCATCTCGCTTCCCAGGAGCCTTCCTGTCCATCTGTGGATACACAAAGACAGCAATTAATAGCAGGAGAAAATCACGGCGGAGACTAAACAGCGATCTGCTTAAATAGACCTGATAAAAAGGGTAACCTTGAAAGTTTGAAACCGATTCAATAGAGAGCACACGTCGTCCAATTGAAGACAGTTTCCGGCACACAGCTGTAGAGGAGGTATGACACAGCCGGGCTTCAGCCAGAGACAGGATATCCTGTGGGAGTATTAAACTTGCAGGTTTGCGATGTTCAATATTCAGAAAGCACATAAAAAATGCTCTATTTTTGCAAATACATCTACATAATTTCCTCCTTTTTCTCCTTCTCTATTTATCAGTTCAGTGATGATGCGCAAGGAAAAAAAATACTTTTTTTCTGTATGATTTAGCATGTAATTACTTTACAGAGAAAAAAAATGCAACCAAGATGTGTGAGATTGTTCTGAGAAACTCGCAACAGACACACACGTCACACAATTTGAACTCACATTACAATCTGGCAGATCCTTTAGAAGGTATGAATAAAAGTCGCTATGGATTTAAATCAAGTTATCATTATTATTTGTTTACATATGTCATGTTTGTGGAAGTCTATGTTGTAAAAAACTGAGAGTGAATGGACTTCTGACTCTGCAACAGACTGTGACACTCGATGTGATTTGCACTGACGCAGCATTTCCACTTGATGCTGCTCATGAGCACTGACTGACTACAGTATATGTGCAGCCAATTAGCTCATCTGACAGTCATAGGAGAAAAAAATCAGACATTAATTAAAGCTGCAGCCATGAAAACTGTAAATGTAATTCTCTTAAATAAATGATCTACATGATTCTCCTCATGACTGTAAATGAATGGTGGCGTAATGCAGAGCTGGGATGTACTGTGAGAACATTATCATTACTGATGACACTCTGCTGCAGACCAATCATCATCCATCTTCTTCAGTCATGATGTGTCTTAAATTACTCATTATGCTTTACATGTATTCTTGTGTGGTTGGTAAACAATTTATCATTACAGCATTTACTTAAGTTTTTAGGTCCATGACAACACAAGTGAGACCTCTAATTATTCCAACCCCGTCTCATGGTTGTTTAAACGGCACAGCTTTCTATGAATCATTAGCAGTAACAAAGAGTCCGCAGGGTTTTTGTACCTGTAGGAGCGGCCTGTCCTCGGGCTTCTCCTCCTGCATCTGCTCCAACAGCTTCTGGATTTCTTCTCCTATATCTGCCTCCAGCTCTGGCTCGATGACAAAGTTCAGTGTGGCAGAAAGCGTAGAGCCCAGAGAATAAACATGGCCCTGCGGCCAGGGGTAGAGAAAGAGACAACACTATCATTATCATGACGGAGCTGCAGCTGTGAATTTGCAGCAGAGATCCGAATCTGTGAATGACTACAGGAGAGCTTTAGAAAAACACAGGATCCCCTTACCATTTTGGACAGTGCTTGTCAGACATCGTGCATATTTATGACAAAGCTTTTTTGTTTTGCTTTGCTGCGCTGATAGTGGATATTATGGTCAGCTGAAAGGCAGCAGCGGATTTGAACCAGGTGCTTCTGAGTTCACATCCCACACATAACTATCACTCCCAACAATTGAAGTGGACCGGACCTATACTTAAGTGGTAAACACATGTGCAAGGCGGATCCCAGCATGGGTCACCAAAATAGAAGAGTAAACACTGAGCTAAAGGTCTTAACTCCTGTTTTTCCTTATACTATTACTTGGGCCGAACACAGCTTCTCCCTTGGGGAAAACACAAGAGAAGTAAAGTTGTATTTTTTGTGTCAGAAGTTTTGCCTGTTTAGACAAACAGCAAAATTCAAATGGATGGTTTACTTTGAGATTCGGTTACATAAGTCCACCGAAAATGTATTCATGTGTTGGTGAGAACAGTGACACCCCTCAGTGGCAGCGTGTGAGTTTCACATTTTGATTCTGTATTTCCACAGAGGAAGCCAAAAGTTTTGGAATCCAGTCACATCAAAGGGCGTTTTTTCTATTTCACTTTCTCAAAACTGTCCCTGTTGAACAGCAGATGTATAGAGAAGTATATAAAGATGAATAGAACAGTTACAGAGCTCCAGTCAGACACACTGAAAAAAACATGAATAATGTATATGAACATTTATTAAACCCACAGTAGCCAGTGAGAGTAATGCATATTTATCCTTAGAAAGAACCGCAGCAGGAAAGTGGTTCAGAAAAAACAGACAAATCCACACCTGGAGCACTTTACAATGTACACAATGCAAATGCACCAATAAGTAAGTTCATGTTTGAATGTCTCAGTCAGGGGACCATCTAGAGGAAGCCTGTCATAAGAATGAAATTTGTGATGGTTAAAGGAAAAGTTGGGTTGGTTTCAAACTGGAATCGTATTTTCATAGCTGTGGTCGTAGTTTCTATTGGCTATAATAACACTGTGTACTGACCGAGTGAATCACTGAGGTCTGGGAATGAGGCCACTCTTTCTAAAAGACGTCAGACAGCACAACAAACACGAGCAGCGATACAATCAGACTGACTCACGCACCTCAGACTGAGTCCCGTCGAAAATGGAAGCAAAACGACATTTACTATTCTGCCGTGCCCCACAATCGATACGGTGCAAATCCAATAGAACCGTTCTGTCACAAGTTCTATTTATGTGGCAATATCCTGCATAATGTTCAGTTATGGCAGACGCTGTCAGAGCGCTGTTACATCTATTAAATGTGTTCACCACTGAGGCCATAGTTATTGCTGGTGTTGTACTAAACTGCATTAATCAGGTGTTTGTAATGTTCTTCTCAATATATTGGAGTCCAGAGTAGCACAAGGAAGATTTTATGGCAGAGGTGTTTGACTGGATTGCAATGGACTGAGCAGATAAGACTAGAAAAGGGGACTTAATGTGTCCTTTAAGGCATCTGATATTTGTTGCACAGTTGCCGGTCTTTGAAGAACATTTACGCTGATCAGTTACAACATTACAAGCACTGGCAGGTAAAGTAAATAACATTGATTATCTTATTACAATGACATCTGTCTAGCGGTGGGATATATTAGGGTGCATGGGTGGCTGTTGCTCAGGTGGTCGAGCGGTTGTCCTCTAATCGCAAGGTTGGTGGGTCGATAATCGGTAAACAGGCGACGGGGTCATAGGAGCCAAAGGTCCACTGATGCGTTCACTGATGCGTGTGGAGAGGAAAGGTTGGTCCATGTGGTCTGATCCCACACAAGAGCTACTACATACTGAAAATCTTAATGCTGCTACGATAGGAAGGTGTCAGAACAAACAGTGCCTCAGTTGTGTAGCTGCAGATCCTTCAGAGTGTCCATCTGCCGCCAAAAAGCGCCTACAACGGGCATACGAGCATAAAAACCGGACCACAAAGCAACAGAAGAAGGTGGCCTGGTCTAATGAATCATGTTTCCTTTTACACCATGTGGACGGCCGGGTGCGTGGAGCAGGGATGGCAGCAGGATGCACTGTGGGAAGGAGGCAAGCGAGAGGAGGCTCTTGGCACTGTTCTGCTGGGAAACCTTGGGTCCTGGCATTCACGTGGGCGTACCGCCTACCTAAAAATTGCTGCAGCCCACGTACACCCTTTCTTGGCAGAGATATTCCCTGATGGCAGTGGCCATTTTCAGGAGAATAATGTGTCCTGCAACACTGGAAAACATTGTTTAGGAATGGTTTGAGGAAGATAACAAAGAGTTTAAGGTGTTGCTGAGTCTGGTTGAGCCTCTGTGGGGTGTACTGGAAAGACAAGACTGATCCATTGAGAAACCACCTTACGACTTCCAGGACTTAAAGAATCCTAAAGGTAGTCTCGGTGCCTGATGCTACAGGACACATTCAGGGTCCATACCAAAAGTGATCAGAACTTAAGAAGGACATCAGTGAAGTCATCAGTGAAGGTATTTTCCCAGTAAGACATATTTGAAATAGAATCACATTTTCCCAAAGTATATCTTCATCAAACATCAAGTAAGAAAGTAAATATGATTGAACATCAACATATACAGTGATTAATAATTAATATTAACCTACTAAACTTGAATTTTCCCCCTGAACAGGTCGTATATGAGTAAACAGTTTAGCCCAGGGGTGTCCAATCCTGGTCCTCGAGGGCCACAGTCCTGCATGTTTTAGATGTTTCTTTCTTCCAACACACCTGATTCACATGATCAGCTCATCATCAAGCTCTGCAGAAGCCTGATAGCGATCCTGAATCTGGTGTGTTGGAAGAGGGAAACATCTAAAACATGCAGGATTGTGGCCCTTGAGGACCAGGATTGGACACCCCTGGTTTAGCCAGATCGTCAAATCTGCTCATATCTGGAGGTGAACCAAAAAAACCAAAACACCAAGAACACAATCTGTCTGATCGCCCGATTTGCTCGTGTTTCTTGTTTACTGCTGACAGAACCGATAGCCCAAAACTAGAAAAAACAAATCCCATTTTTTTTTAATAAACAAGATCACTGTCAGAATATTGCCTCATCCCTGTTCCACATTATCAGATAGAGGTGACAGAGCTGAGCCTGGTGGGCGGCTCGCGTGGGGGTGGAGGGGGGAGATTATTTCAGGTGAGGAAAGACAAACAGTCTCCCTCAGCAAACAGCATCAAGGTGCCCCTGACTGTGCGCCGTGCAGAGAAACTCCCCGCGCTCAAAAGAATGTGTTCCAACAGATTCCGTGAGAAGATTCGGCGTCGCTCACCTCAAACGTGCTGCCTGTGTTGTCAAACTCGGGAGGCACAAAGGAGCCTTCTGGATCGTCTGCGGGTCAAAAACAAACCAATTAACTGCACCGTTTAGCATGACTGTAAATCACACGCTGCATCATCATTTCATCAAAGAGGAACAAACAGCGCGTTTGCGGATTGATGTGAACGCTGTGATGTATGGCCACGGCAGTCGTGCACTGTAACCTACTTGCTAAGCATCCGTCCTAATGAGATGCAAATGAGTGGAATATGTATCGGGCATGCTAAACCACAACAGTCCAGTGAGCGGGTGCAGCCGCTTCCCTTCATTTGCATAATTCATGTGTCAGAGATAATCCCTGACAAACAAGACAGGAGCTATCTGCAGATCAGAGGATGAAGCAGGCACAGAGGAGCGGCGTCGCGTCCTCTTCTTCTTCCTCCTCCTCCTGAAATAGGCCGAGCGGCAACAAGCAGGACACACGGATACATGAAAACATCACCACAAACACACTGTCCACTCCCTCCACTGTGCAAGGACACGAGAGAAGGAGGGAGGAAAATGAGGAGTAAAGTGGGTCATGACAGTTCTGGGTTTGTCTGCTGGAGTTATGATCTCACCTCCTGGGTGTACAGAGGACAGTCTCCACTTCTTTCTTTTCCTTTATTTCTTCTAATTGTCCTTCAGATTCTCACCTCTTTTCTTTCCTCCTTTGTTCCCTTGCTTCTCATTTCCTCTTCCTTAACTTTTTGTCTTGTCCTCATTTTTCTTAAACTACCATCTCCTTCCTTTTTTTGTTCCTTTGCTCACCTATCTTTCTCTTGTTGCTTTCCATTCCTGCCATCTTCTCTTTATCTGTCATCATGTTTTTCATATTACACCCTCTCATTCGTCTGTCTTACTTTAATTCATTTCCGCTTATCTTCATTTCTTTTACATTGTTCTTTCCTTTCCTCATATTCCTTTCTTTTCTCTCCACTTGTGCTGTTTGATTTTTCTTGTCTTGTCCTATTCTTTCATTTCTTCTTTTCTCCTCTCATCTTCTCTTTACTTCCCTCCTATCCTTCCTTCTTTCCTCCCTCTCTTTTACTCTCCTCACCTCTGTCCTTTCCCTCTTTTCTCCTTTAAATTTTCCCTGTTCATTTCCTTTCTTAACTCCTTTAACTTCCTCTTTTTCTCTTCTTTTTCCATTCCTTGCCTCTCATTTTCTTTCATTTTTTTCTTCTATTTTCTTTCCCTCCTGTCATTCCTTTTCTATCCTCTCCACTCTTTTTCAGTCCTTTCCTCACCTCACCTCCCCTCCTTTGTTCATCTCCTCTCAAACAGGTTGACAGTTCAAACAAACGTGACGGAAAAAAGAACGGACAGGAGGAGGAAGAAAGGAGGACAAGACGTTCAGACTCTTTGTAGTCGGGGAAAAAGTGTAGCAGTGAAATAGGCATTGAATAAGAGAAGGAAAGGCAGCCGTTGTCAATGACGCAGTTGCCTCCAGGGTGATGGTGAGAGCTTGGTGAGTCATGTATGCCTACAACGTTTCAGCACAACAGGTAGAATGAACTGAGCAATATCAGAGATTTAAACACTCTCCAAACAGGCTGAACGTACTTCCAGCAGAGCGCAGCCGGTACCGTCTCATCACAAACGGAACAGCTTGCGATGCTGAACCTCGTGGGAAAATTAGCATTTAGAGGACATTTTGTTACTCTGGCTGGGTGCTTTTTGGTGCTGCCACCAGTGCAGCAACACCCACTGTCTCATACGACCAACCTTCCTGGTATTACTGCAGTAATTAATCAGCTGAAATGAGCAGTATTGATGAGTCACTGTGGCAACTGCTATTCTCCCCGAGATCCATCATCACAGCCCTCAAGGTCACTGTGTGAAGCGGCGGCGGCGTTACGGGGAGGCCTGGCCGCGTGCGAGCGCAGGGTTGACCACTATAGTGCACGTCAGCTTGAAATTTCATCGCACAAACAATTCAATTAAAAGGAATCAATGGGGAAACTGCGCAGCAAGTAAAGCTAAGCTGCAGAGTTATGATTAATGATACAGATGCGCTCTGTTCAGCATGTGCTGCTAACACACGAAGGGCACTGTGGGCACTGCAGTTTCTTTCTCTTCCCGCAGAATGAATCACAGCCGACGGACTGAACACAATCCGATAAAGCATGACAACAAACGAGCCTGTGAAGAATTTTAGCTGACAGAGTAATCAAAACATGGCTTCAAAGTGTCTGTATCACTGACGGAAGATCCGTGTGGAGATAAAAAAAAAAAATAGAATAATAAAAAAAATGAAAGCAACCCTTTAACGGATGGCATGCCGGCTGTGTATTGTGTGAGTGTGTGAGCAGAGCAGGTCGACTGCTGATAGGCTAGCTAGGCTGTTACCACAACAACGATCCCCCTGGCAACTCTAACTCCGGTCATCTAATCAATGCTTATCAATTTCTGATGTTTGGCAGCAGGGCATGGAATAGGTGCTACACTGTGTGCAGCCACATATGCTTAAATGGTTGCGTAAGTGATAATAATTCCTGAGAGGATGTTTTTCATTCGATGTCATTCGGCCTTAAAACACTGTGAAGGAGAAAGATGCCGTCTGTGCAAACCAGGGCAGACCTGCAGACCTCGACGAAGCCTCGCAGACGCAGCGAGACGACACTGACGGAGTATTTTCAGGAGGGAGTTTGCAAATTGAAACTGATACAGATCAAGGCAACAAATCACTGGAGAGAAAACGTTGGCTTCTCTCTGAGTCGAAGCTCAAGCTGCAGTTAAGAGACAACCTCACCTTTAAACTCTGCAATGCAGTTCTGATCTAATCTGTTACGTATTCACTTTTTCTAAAAAACAATTTCTTCTTTGTGTCTGTAGAAGGTTCAGCTGTCATCCGGATCAGTCGTGTGTAGGATTTAACAGCCCAGACACTGGCTGTGTACAAGTCAAATCCTGTATCTGAGGATAACACACAAAATATCCTGCAAACTAGGGCTTGCACAGCATTTTGTTTCAGCATTGACTCGGCAATGTGCACATGCATAACAGTCACGTCACAGGAAATGCAATGTGAAGTGAGGCAAATTAATTCAAACGCATTATGTTAGAGCTTTTATTGCTGCTTTATACAAAAAGCAGCATTTTCTAGTACTAATCTACAGGAAAATCTGTCAGATAAAACATCATTTGCTAGGATTTAAGGGTTCTTAGATACACTGGGTTTTGTTTTGTACAGTGAAATGAATGGAAAAAAAGAGAGAAATGTTCAAAATGAAGATGTGGCTGCAAAAAAAAAAAAAAAAAGCCGCAACACAATGGAAATATTTCAGCTTTACAAACATCGATGTTGACCAAGAACAGATTCCATGTCAGCATTGTCTTGCAACACAACTTATCTGTTTGACTTTCTAAATCAGCACTTCAAAGCTCTGCATGACAAATCCACATCTAAATGCAATCCAAAGCAGAAAACTATCCTGGATGCCTGTTGCACCATATGAGAAAGGTTCCAAACAGATTTTCAGCCTTCTTTTTTTTTTTTTTTTAGAATAATAGTTATTTTCGGTGCAGATGCACTCCTCCACGAAATCGCCTCAATCATTCTAGAATGATTCATTCTCTCTAAATAGAGTTATTCAATCCATCTGGTGGAAAACTCTTGTATTTTTTTTCATATTGTACGATGAAAAACAACAAACAAAATATTGCAATGTTAGGTTTTTTTCCAAGATAATGCAGCATCAATGCAAACACAAAAGTGTCTACAATCAAGTGTATAAATGTCCAATACAACAAGTAGTGCATCTGTGTTGTGGACTCACCGCTGAGCAGCTCCATGAAGCAGACATTCCCATGGGCGTTGAAGGCCAGAGTGTCTGGTGTTATGCACAGGGTGTGGAAGAGGTGGGAGGGTCTGATGCTCTGCAGGGCCAGAACGCACTCTGCACACACCGCCCACACCTCCTCCTCAGACAGACAGCTGTCCCGCAGAGAGAGGATGTCTGCCAGAGACACGTTCTCCTGTAGAAGAACACACACACATACACAAGTATGTTCAGGTAAAGGCACTGTGCATAATTATCACGTTAAAAAAAAAAATCTCGACAACTTCTGAGAGGCAGGATGTGCATCAGTGCTCCGGTTTAATACAGTGCGTCTAAGGGCAAATGTTAACTAGGAGTTCTCTGTGCTCTTTACTAATTACCTGCCCTGAGCACAGTCCAGCCTTTTGTTAAACTCTCCATTAGCTTGTAGCTACTTAACAGGCCAGCTGTTTGTTGGTATTTCAAAAGGACACAAGGAGGCATCAACGCAGAAAACAAAAACTTCCAAGTCAGGTTAGAGTGGCAACTTTAATAAAGCTCGACACAGTTCTAATCCAATGATTCAGCAAGTTTAGTTTTATTTTTTTGTGAAAATGTAAACGGGACTCTTTGGAAAGCATATCATTTAATGTACAGCCAAAGAGAGCAGCAGGCAGAGCACTTTTCACATATTTCCGAGTTCCCCGTGAGCATCTCAATGCACCGGCAAACACCTCCCGCTCTCAACTGCATTTCACTCAGCCAGCTCAAGCGAAACGGATTTATTAAAATGTAAATAGAGAGTGCGCAAAGTTCAAGTTCGCCGTTAGGGCTCCGACCTCATTACTCCGAAGCTGCACGGGGGGGACGGCAGAGAACGACGGGGACAAAGTTTTTACTGAAAGCCTGGAGAAACTAAATCCTACAGGTGGACGATGAGGTGGATTCATGTGTGTCACAGCACAGTAGTGATGCAGCAGCAGCAGCAGCATGGCAGCTTAAATAGACGCTTATTGCAGAAGGTGCAAGAGGTTGGATGACAAGGATGTATTAACAATTTTGGTGTCTAAATTTGATTTTGTTTTATAGTCTGTATCAGGGCAATAGCAATATTTTATGATGAAATCAAGGCAATTCATCACATTGATGCAACACTTCTGTAAATACATCACTGCTTGCACGGCAATAAATTTGAACTGTACAGACTCAGTGACTAATCGCTCCTTTCCTGGATACATGATTAATGGACAATTTACTTAAGTAAAATTGAACCCATCCTCAAATATTAAACCTGCTCAAAACAGATTATTAAAGCGAACCCCGGGTGCAGTTACAATTAAAGGACAGACGTCAGGTTGTATAATCAGAATGTATCTGGCATCTCCTGTATAGTAAATCTAATTCCTGTCTATCACTTTTAAAAGATTATTTCTTCATGTCAGTCACAAGAAAATGCTATATGTCTGAACAAATATCGTCTGTGGGTATCATTGCTAGTGCAACAGTGTTTTGAAATGGGACTAAAGATCAACAAGCCAATACTGAGCTGTTCCACCTTTAAAATACAGTGTACTAATGATAGTTTCAAAAACAAATAGAGACTTCCAGGGTTTCAACCTAAGGAACCAGTCCTGTCAGCATGCAGGGTCAGGCTTTCTCTATCATTCTTCTTCTTTAGAATTGTTTTCAGGTTTACACATGTGTGGCGGAATTACTCCAACACACTGAGTCGCTACTGTGCAGCGTAGACTGTCCTTACAGTGTTTGAGCAGAGCCATGGGTGAGCTGGTGTGCTCAGGCTGTGGTGAGCAGACAGAAGTGAGTGGAAAGAGAGACTTGATGGACTCCATAGATCTGCACATTCTAGAGAACAGAATGGTATAGAGTTACATTTAAGACATTTTAAAGTAGGAATGGATTATTTTAAAGGAAAGAAAACTTTGTATGGTAACTTTAATACACACAGATGAGTTTTTAGGGGTTAAATCACAAGACAGGACCGGGATTGTGAAATCGTTAAATTCGTCAAGAATTGCTCAGAAGGTTTAGTATTTTATAGCAAGTCATGTGTCAGGTCATGGCCAGGCACCAGACATCTAACAGGTACTTGAAGTACAACACTAGGTACAGTCGAAAAGCTTTTGGATCTGAATGTTTTTAACGCGTGGGGGTTGGAATTTGGAACAGCTTCTGGTATCTGCTACAAGCTTTTAGAAACAGGTGCCAAAACTTTTTATTTAAAGACAAAGAAAGAAAAGAGACGGACCTGGAGCAGGGTGTTATGTGTGGGTTGTTTAATGACAAAAAAGAACCAAACCAAACAATAAATATTAAGCTATTAAAACTCACCCCCCAAACAATATTAAGACTGAGAGTCTGATACGTGCTTACTGCAAAATCACCAAATGTGAAAACATTGCTCATTTAAAAAGTTTAATACCAGACATAAGATGTCTCATATGTGACAGACAAGTCATTTTTCTGTATGTGCACTATTTACTTAATATGACAAACCCTACAATTCTACAATGTCATTTAGCAGACACTTTTACCCAAAGCGACTTACATCTGAGAGCGGATACAACACACGCAAGGATCTAGTCAGGAGAAAACAATCTAGATAAGTGCCATAGAACAAGTTCAAGTGTGAACCCTCCATGAAGTCACCCACAGATTTCCTGAGCAGTGGTGTTGAAGCTGCTCACCAGTGTGGTGGTTTCAGCAATCGTTATCTCGGCAATGTCTGACTCCACCTAACGGCAGCGTTATACTTTCTGCAAGTCCACGACAGTCTGCGTGACAAAAATGTCAACATCTGTGCAGACTGTTCTGTGGATGCCTGTGTGCAGTCCAGTACTTCTCACTACTCACACAATCATGGAATACATAAAAGTTTACTGAGTAAGCATGTATAGAACAGAGTCTTCCCAGTGGAAGTGGACTAGAAAGTTGTAATAACAACAACAATGTGTCAATAGGGAATATAACCAAGGTTCAACTTCCAGCTAATTTAAAAATGAGCTGTAGTGGAGGCAGGTCAACCCACATGTCATTCAAAGCAGGCATACCCTTAATCATGCAAAACTTTACTCCTTATTTCAATCTAAATGGGGGAGTTATATAAAAATGTACTCCCTTACAGTCGTCATGAACGAGAAATTTAGCTGCAGAGAATAATAAGTTGTTTATGCCAGGCTGCCAACATGTTTATTTCTGCTGGAAAGTTTTACATATTAACATGGGGGTCCATGGGGACTGACTCACTTTGGAGGCAGCCTCCAGTGGACATTTGAGAAACTGCAGTTTTTGTTACTTTGTGTTTTTTTTTTTCAGGCCAAGAGGTTTCAGCTTGATGTGCTCAGGAAACCTCAGTATTCCACATCACACAGTATGCAGTTCAACTGTTGACCATATGAGACTACAAAAGGCTTTCAAACTACACATGATGTTGCAAATTCTGCCCACACACATCTTCAGACTAAAGATGAGAATTTTACCCCCACTAGCAGTCTGCAGTCAGGCTCATACTGTACTCAAGTTAAGCAACAACAAGCAAAAACGTATTTTTGAATGGAGCGGGCCTTAAAGAGATAATTACCTCTCTAGCAACAGTGTAATGTTTTTACACGTGAACACACTTTTAATCATCTCACAGGATGAATCGTGTGTATAAACTGTAGCAGCATGGCCCAACTTGTTTGGCTGAACTTACTCCCAGACATCAGACATGTTGACTGTCTGACTTTGACTGAAGTACAAACTGATGTGATGATACTAACTGGCAAAGTTCCACATATTAATCTTCATAGAGAATCAAAGCTTTGTGAAGTAGGCAATAAAAACTTTCAAAAGTCATCATTCTTCTTTGGAAAATAGCTTTAATCTTTAAGTGAATTCAAACTTAAGGCGAAAGTATGATCTCATTTTAAAGACAATCTGCTACATCTGAAGGCATCACATGATATACTGACTGTCATTAGATACGGTGGCCTAATTTTGAAGCTAGCAGGAGAAAATTTGGACTTGACATTTGGTGCACTAAGCACACAGCATCCCACACATACATGCAGCACACACACACACTTTAATTTCATGGAGGGAATCGACACACCCACATGAACACACAACATCATCTGTGATCCACTATTTACCAAATGGCCCCATTATCCAGGCAGATGCAGTGATCTCAGAGATTCCATGCAGCATCCTGCATAATGCTGCGGTCTGACAATTACAGGATCCTCTGTCCGGTTTGCAAGACAACACAAAAGCTGGCCTTAACTGAGACGGAGGGGTGGAAGAGGGGAGCGTGGGGCGCATCACAAAGCAGCGATTGTCAAACACTATATCAAGCACTTTAACTACCATGAACTTTACACTTTTTGAAAAATTTATGACACCCCAGCGGAGTTTTTCTTATCTTTTCTGTAACTGTGAAAGTTTTATTGCATGTATCCTCTGATATTCAACAGCTCTGCTGTCACTGACTGAGTGTGAAGAATCTATCAGTTTAAATTTACGACTGTCTTGTAGGAGCAGGAGGGCTGCGGCAGATAGCGAACAAAGCATATTGATGCGATCAAGTGGGGTAGAGCGCGATTACAGGGCAGAAAAGTACCACTTCAAGCAGCAGCAGCAGCAGTAGCAGCAGCAGCCCCATAAATAGACAGCTTCCCTTGAGAACAGTGCAGGGGAACGCTAGTCTCTCTCACCCCCCTCAAGTTAAATTTGCTGTCCTATATAAGTTTGCCTCGGAGCTCTAAGGTTCTGATGAGGCTGCCGGTGTGTTGCATGTCTTTGCACAGTGGGTCTGAGAGGAACAGTGGGTCTGAGGGAGGGTCACTGCTCTCCAGCTGGTTGGCAAGAGACTCAGAGGCCAGAGGTTAGAGGACAGGTTGACTATTTACAGATCTAGTGCCCATGAAAACATTACAAACAGGTTTACTTGCTATTTCTCCTGTTCATACTGGTAATGAATGTGTGTGTTGTGTCAGTGGCGATATCCACAGCGCTGTAGTGTTCCCTCCAGCATGTATTCAGCTCATTTCAGGCTACTATGACAGACTCATTTCACTAATGAAGTCAGCATCTTCCAAAGTTATAGCCTTCTTGGCAAAAGTCTTCATTGTTTGAGCTCAACAAAGAAACACTCATCCACAACTGAGACAGCATTTTAACTGTGATTAAATCTGAAGTACATTTCTACACAGAGGACTGCAGATTTCATCCCCATCACTTCCACTGGATGCTTGTAAGAAATGGACGTCTTGTTGACCAGTACATAATGTACAGATGGAACAAAAACTGACCCAATGTACAGCGCATAGGGGGCTTGACAAACTGTTGTAAGAACAGCTTGAAAAACTGTGAACCCAGAAATAGCTCTGTAGTGGTATTTCTGTTGAAAAACATCTGCCCTCGCATTTAAATGTTACAGCTGTCACTTTAAATGGGATTATACAGCAACAATACAAAAACAGTTGCCCACAAAGGTTTATCCTGCCAATTAAGTTAAACCCATCGGGGTGATGTCATCCACTACTGTAGTGTAGTATTTCCAATTTATGCTGCTTTACGGGGCCACTCCATTACATTTCAGATAGAATTAACTCTAAAACATAACAGTGACACCTTTAAACAGTGCTCGTTTTTAGCTTGTGATATGATACAAATAAAGAGAAGTCTGGATGGTGATGCAGTGGTTAATACTGTTACCTCATAGTAAGAAGGTTCTGGGGGGTTTCCTGTGCAGAGTTTTCATGCTCTCCCTGCAGTTGCGCAAGTTCTCTCTGGATGCAGTCCAAAGACACGAAAACTGGTGATTCTACATTGCTTGTAGGTCATGAGTGTGCATGTTTGATCTGTCTGGTTTAGCCCTGTGATGGACCTGTGTAGCCTCTCATTCGGTGTCAGCTGGGATAGACTCCTGCGCCTCAAGACATACCGTAGGATATAGATGATGAATGGATGGATGTCAAGAGTGATATACCTTCTAAACTTCTCCGATCCTACAATATGTCTCTTTAATAATCATCTGAGCCAGATCTAGGATTTACCATGTGATAAGGGTCCAAGAACTAGACGGCGCTCCTGAACCGAGTCCTTTACCTTTCATAAGTACATGACATACTGCTGCTAATACATCTGGACTTGTCGACTTTTCGTATTATTTACAGCACATTTTGACTGAAGTTATAACTCTGCCAATAAACACAGCGAGAAGTTTAGACTGTCAGACAGTGAGGCAGCACATGAAGAATGCTTTCTTCTTCTGATCTCTGCAGACATGTACACAATGAACAGACCAATTCAAAGTCTTGGTTTGGCAAAGATACAAGCAAACGCTCCAAGAAGGCCCTGAGAAAGCATCTCCAACTGACTTTCCATCCTAAGCAGATTAAGCATCATAAAGTCTTCCTCAGTATTCAAGTGACAGCTTTAAAGGACTGAAGACAGCATCTGGTAGGTGTCATGTCATGTGTTAGAGTCATTTAGGCTGCCTGTTTCCCCAACATATGATTTAAAATCAGTGAAAACAATCGAGATAAACCCCCACTATTCATTTCTAACTTGCTCCAGGCTCACCTCATCCTCCAGCAGAGGAGGCAGATGCTCCAGATCATAATATCCGTCTCTGTCCTCAGCTTTCCCCAAGTATGTGACCGCCGCATCGCTCCCACAAGTCTCCATTGCACCAACTTTGATTTCACCCCCCTCTCTCTTCAAGTAGTGAAGCGATGGTCGGCCCAGACAGCAGCCGAGACGGAGGACATGCCTGAGCTCCGAGCGCTGGCCGAGCACCGACGAGGTTCGCTGCGGTCCAGCTGACGCTCGCTGCGGGACGTTGAGCTCCACGAACGACCGGAGGGGGAAAGAATAAAAAAAAAAAAAACGGCGACGCGTCCGCAAAGCGTGCAGGGAGCTACTGACAGCGGAGGAGCTGGAGGCTGTGTGAGGCTGTCATGACTACCACACCTCCTCACACACACATACACACGCACACGCGCACACGCACACACGCGCACAGGCGACACGCTGGAGCTGATCCCGAGCCGCGGCTCCGTGGATCCTCCCTCCCCGTCACAGCTACAGTTGGCCGCACGCCTCCGTTCACAGCGCAGTCTGAGTGACTCACATCCACCACTTACTCCTTATTATCTCCGCTCGTTCCCCCGTGATCTGGCTCTGCTTGAGCCATCATGGCATCAATGTGTGCACGCAGATGTACTCTCCCTTCCCTCGGTCTGTCACTTGTACTCCCAACATCTGTGCCTCTGCAAAGTTAGGTCACAATTATCCCAATGCTCCTGGGACTAGAGGTTCACTACTGCAGTATCCCATCTGATAAAGGGAGATTGGAAGGAAAAGGACCTTGAAAAAGATTCCAACCTCATAACTGAACCATTTTCAAGTTGTAACAGGGTAAAATGATTCTAAAATGTGAGACACTGTGTTCTAGGTAAAGTCATCCCTCTTTCTCTCCATGCTGAGCCCATGATCCACATTAATATCTGACTAAAGCAGGGAGCCAGAGCAGTAATTCTCCAACTGTGTGCCCTGCAGTTAGAGTTATATTTATGATGATTTCCGGCGATAATCATATGTAAAGATAAGCCCGATGACAAAAACCTTTGGGAACCACTGAGCCACACTTCTGCTACCACATAGAGAGAGACTGGTACATCTTATACATTACTTATGCTCATCTTAATTTGGAACAATAGTTTTTGTTTTTATGGCAATTTGAGTGACCGATCCTTTAACTTGGATTCACCAGAGTCAAATTCCTTATTTACGTGTACAAACTTGGCGAATAAAATTGATTTTGATTCTGATTATCGGCCCGATATTGGCGTAAAAATGTGATATCTGTCAATATCGTTATAGTTTTTGGGGTTTTTTTTTTGCCTGACTGATAGAATCATGCCTGGATTTCACCGGCATTTACCAGCGCACAAATGATGATGACATCAAACTGCATCGTGAAGTGTGTAAACAAGTGTGGCTGCAGTAGCAAACATATCGGTATCGACTGATATCGGAATCGGAAATTGAGAGTTGGACAATATCGGATATTGGCAAAAAAGCCAATATCAGACATCCCTAATTCTGATTCTTTAAATTGTCTCTGGTGAGAAGAAGAATTTTACCCATAAAGTCCCATAACATCCATCCATCCATTATCTACACACCGCTTTATCCTCGGTTAATATCGCGGGGGGCTGGAGTCTATCCCAGCCGAGTTAGGGTGAAGGCAGTGGACACCTGGACAGGTTACCAGTCCATCACAGGTCTCATAACACAATTCTGTAGGAACTTCTTACATTTGGTTTTAATCCCATTAACTGAGACAAAAAGCTGACAAAAACTCAACATTTTCCCGTCGACACAAACACGTGGTTTCATCGTAATAATGACAGAAAAACAATACGAGGTGACTTCAGTTCGGATGATAAATTAACCACATGAGATAAAAACTGTGCAGTTTATATAACACAGAGGTGATCTCATCAACTAGTTATCAAACCTTCCAAATAAATAGCGAATACAAATCTGTTGCTGATTAAAAAAACACTGAAAACCCACAGCTGATCCAACATGAGAGAATTCTACCTCCTCTCTGAAAAACCTTCTTATATCCATAACATCCATTACGTCCATCAAGTCTTGCCGTAGTAAATTAGCCAGCCAGCTGCCACTAGATACCTCCAATGAAACCCCTGTAACTGTTGTGTTCTCTGTGGTGCGCCATCACACAAAATGCACAAGTGCCAAGTAGAATAAAGTTGATGTGCTGCTTGAATCACACTGAAAACCCCCCAACATGAATCACTTTCCTTTTTGCTCAGTGATATCATCCTATTTTGGAGCGCGTTACTGTACGAATAAAACGACAGATGAATAGATTTAGGGCTATTTTATTCCATTGTTCTTATTTTTAAGATCTGGGAAACATTCTGGGAGTACAGTCTGGAAGGCTTTCAACAATGCCACTGTCCAAAATGTTGACTCGATCATAAACATGTTGTTCATAATGTTTTTGACATTTTGTTGGCTTTTCCTTCATCTTGTTGCATAACCGTACTCACACAGTGCAGCCAAACTCAAGGCTTTGAGAGGCTGCCATCATCTTAAAAAGGACTGCATAAATGAAACGTCTGACCTAAAGAAGGCGGCAGATGAAAGGCTCGGGAATCAATTCAGTCGATAGGATTTGTCCTTTTGGGACTATGGATGTACGCAGATGTGTGGCAGCCCATTTCATGTATGCAGACTTTCCGGTAGTGAAAGTTTCCGGACCTGCTGGTTGCATCAGATGAAAGTCAGCGAATTATCGAAGTCAATAGAATAAATCCTTTAGGGATTGTGCCGGTCTACACCAAAGCACCAATAGATGTTGAGATAAATACTCATTTGCAACTCGTCTTGAGTGGTCGTGTCGGTAGTTTGACGCCAACATTCCCATAACGGATGTGATGCTGTTATCTTCATGTGCGAGCCGTGCTGTTAGAATGACACTTTTAGGACTCCTCATCTGTGTTGGCTCAAAAATAACCAACGAGGCTCGATTCTAATTGTCTGGAAATATTAATTTGCTTAGTCCCAACTGGTTCAGATGATCCATTTCTGACAAGTGAGCAAACTCTATCCACTGATGAAAGCCTGTGGCACAGTTAAAAACTCCAGAAACGCTCGTAATTGAAGATTTAGATGCTGTTCTGCTTGTCAGACAATATTTGCGTGAATGCCTCTCAAAATCTACAGACCTCCTTGAGAAATTGCAGAGAAATAGCCCCTGTCAAAAGCGTTGACAGTGTGTTCTGTGGAGTAATTTGAGATGCTACTATTGATTTTTAAGTATATTTTAATTGCCTTCAACTGCCAACCAGTACGAATGAAATGTCGTTAACCTCCATTGTTCTCTTGTGGAAACCTCAGAACATTGACAAATAAGGGCCAAAACTGATGTATTGTGACATTTGTTTTCTACCGGGGACCAACTGGAGCCCTCAGTTTAGCTACATGGTGACCTACTTTGTGGAAAAAAAGCCTTCACTTTGAGAGAACCAGCTGGTCTGTGAGAGCCCATGCTGCTTCTGCCCTCGCTGCGGTGGCATCTCATGGCTTCAGCCCATTTTACCAGAATGACTGAGACATGGAAACTCTCTTCAAATGAACAATGTTAATTTGCAGCCCGTCCCCGACAGCAGCAATTAGCAATGTTTAAAACAGATCTGGTAACTCAGAGCAGAGATTGTTGAAGAAGGTTAGAAAAACTACACTAATAGAATTCTGTGGAGTGCTCGCTCTGATTTCCTATTCTGCTAATCGTCTCACAACCGTCTCAAAACTGCTCAGCCATGCAACCCTTCCTGCTTTCATCTTACCAATGCAGTCACATTCTTGCACATTTGTTCTGCTTCAGTACTATTTGCACACACACTGATCCATCTTAATTGCCCACTCTATTTGAATATCATCTTGTGCTGTGTCCTAGTCATGATGGAAAGCCTGTTTGGGTGCCAGCTGAGCTCAAGGTGCCGGTGAATGAGATTGCTATTATGCTGTTGGTGCCCTGTGGCTGCTGAGCAGTGATAGAGAGGCCTCTCTGGCCAGGCGGATCGCTATTAGATTTGTTGACTGCTCTGTGCTCTGGCTTGTTGAGATAATAGGGGAGGAATACTTTTACTTTAGCAGCCAGGCAATTAATGTGATCATACGTATTCTGGCATATCCCCTCAATGACTTATTACTTGAGAACAAAGCAGTCTATTTGATCCTTGTTGGCACTGTGCAGTTGCCAAGTGCGAGATACATTCAGAAGGTATTTCATCTTCAAAAGGATTAGCTCCTAATGTGGAAATACTGCAGAGCTCCTTGCTGCCGGGAACAGCTGAATCATTTACAGTGAGGCAGCACTTGGCAGAAATCAGCTTTACATTGTAATCTGGAGTCATCTGGAAGTATTATGACTGCTCAGTTCTGTCTATTTTTGTATTTTAGACATCTTTCCTCTGTCCTTACTCGAGTATTTGTCAGAATGAGGAAAAAAAAAGAACAACTACATTTGAGTCTTTTTGCTGGATTCAGTCAAAATCACCCGCAATGATCCGACAAGTCCCAAAGTCTCATTACATGATGTAATCTCACCATGTAGCCGAACATCAGGTGATTGGAGCCTGTAAATACTACAAATATGATAGAGTGCGGAATAAAGGTAAACATTAAAACAAGCCCCCTTCAGTGTCTTAATGCTGCTGCTGGTGGTGGAGTAGTAACACAAGGTTGTGCAACAGTAGGGCCTGAAGGAAGCAGCCACTGATTGGTTCAGGGCATGAGGGCAAAAAGATAATTGGATAAGTACAGTGACATCAAATTCGGTTTCAGACAGCTTGGGAAGTGACGGACAAAACAGACCAACAGAAATAGCAAATAGTCGACCACAGAGGAATAAAGACAGACTGTGGGGGAACAGATCGCCTTGCTTATTGGTAGCCTTTGGACAAAAACAAAGATCACATTTGCCATTTTAGGGCACTCTTGGATACTTATACACAATGTTCTCTCATGACAGGATGTGAGATTATAAATGTCTCCAAACAGGACTAAGGCTGTGGCTGAGTTGTCATAAAATGTACATCCTATGTCTTTTTTGACGCCCCTTTACTTGACTTTGTGGAAAACATGAGGGTCTAAGACAGAGTTGGTGGAGCGTTCTTGAGGACATAGGAAAACATAATTTAGGGAAAGACTGGTCTCAAGAGAATCTGACTGTACTTACACTCAGCTACGTAATCCCTCCACAGCAAATGTTGTCGATGTGGGTCTGCCGCTGATGGTGCGTCATTTTCAGCGTTGCCGCTGGAAGGGATTGTGGAACAGCCTGTTTCCCG